CTGTGCACCTAGTAACCCCACAGTGCAGCCTTGGTCCCACTCATTGTCAGGGGGCTTAGCTGTGCCAAGTGAGAGGCTTTAGCCACATATGTCACTTCAGCAGAGTCTCCTGTCGTTCCTTTAGCCGCTTGAGTGGAGGGGCGGGCTGGAGGCGTGCCACTGCCCCGGGACAGGAGCAGGACGGGAAGGACATGTCAGAGGTGCTGCTGCTGCTGCTTCTGCTTCACACCCGAGATCCAACTGGGCTGTCTCTGCGGGCTTTTAATGTCGCTGTCTCTATCAAAGCGTGGACAAGGATGTAGCTGCAGCATTACAAAAGTGAGTTGACTTTAGTGTTAGCCGACTGTGTTGTTTTGGTATGTTAAAAGCTGTTTATCACCTTTCAAATGACTGCACTCTACTTTTCAGTCTGGTACGTGTTGTTTATAGGTGTGCGTCAGTGACAATTATAGACTATCCTGAAGTTTTTTTTTTGGAGGAGGGGGGCAGGGGTGTCGGATTAGTCATGCAGTATTGACACGCGTGGAGCCCAGGCCAACTCTGGGCTTAGGGAAACACAATCCCTTACGGATTTGTGGCCATCCACCATGTGCATAGGTAACAGATCCTGCTCTTCCTAAACACATGAACACATGCTTTGTTCCGTTCATGTTTACACAGTAACTCCACCCCATTTTGCACATGCAAAAACGCCCCGGCTGAATGTGCATGCTGTTGACGTCGGAGTGGCAGGTTTGCAAATCAGCACATGCTCGCGGAGTACAAGGGAGGATATAAAACGCGGCTAAAGGTCTTTGGGTGTGTGCCACATGCCACCTGTTTCCCGCATGAATGAAAGTTGCCTATGAAGTGGCTCAGGTGCAGTAAGATCACGGCAAATCCTCACAAAGGTCACACTTATCATGTCACCGAGAGACTTACGGGTCTTCACCTTTCACCTATGGCTCCATGGATTTATCAGTTGATTTGGAAAGTAGATTATTGTTTCATAAACACATTTTATTGGTCTTAACAGAAAGTTTTGTTTAAAATCAGACTAAAACATGCTTTTTTTTTTTAGAACACATGTTATTTGCACACTTCTGCCTTTTGCACAATCTGAGTGATCCTTTCTATGCCAAAGTGACTTGTAAATTTCTCCAGTGTGAGATCAATAAAGTCTATCTTATCGTATCTTATTTTATGATTTTCATACTGCAAGCTGAGGGCTGAACAGCTCTTTAGGACTTTCCTGTGTAAAAAAGTTGATCTAAAAATGTGACAAAGGCCACTTGGCATTCAGAATGATCTCTTTTGTAGTTGTTTTTAATCAGTCAATTTTGATGTTTTATCTAGTTCATAAGTAATAGCATATTAGCTAGAATTCCACAGATCAAATAATCAATAATGTAGCTGGAAACAAGGAACATCAAGACACTATCCGAATCTTAACAGTCTAAACGTGTTCAGACAATGATAACAGTATTCAAGATAAATGTTTTGGATATAACAAGACAGTGTTAAAAGAAGCATTGAGTTCTTGGAAAGCAATTTGAAACTCAAAACAAGCCACACCAAACTAATGTAAAAAGCTGTTTGCAGAGAGAATTGTCCTTGTGAAACTTCCTGATGCAATTTTTCATCTGAAAGCATTTAATTTTTCATCGTTTGTGCACAAAATGTGAGACTTTGTGATTTTCCCTGTCTTTTGTCCTGCCTCTGACCTAATGTTAGTGTAGTGTTGCGATGGGCACAGGCAAATAGCTTTCTCTGTAAAAGTCAAAATAGGTTTTTCTTTCTTTTGCAGACTTAGCCACTGAGACAGTTAAGATTTACCCTGAATATGAGTTGTTGCAAATCTACTGAATCTGATTATTCTCACTGTGACTCATGCTTTTATTAATGTATGACTGTATTGTTGTATACTGTATGATTTTTCTTGTTGTAGGTGTTAGGTAGCCCATGAACCAAAGCTGTGCATGTGGGAGCTTGTTTGAGGCCACTGTGTTAAAACATGTTCAGCATTTATGCCGCAATCACACCAACAAGAGCATGCTTCTGCAAAATGTCTTTAAATCGCTAGCATGCTGTACACATCTCCCACTATTGTCCTTTTAATCTGCCGGAAGATAATCTGACAATACAGTTTTCTTTGTTCTTAGCAACTATTCAATTTGTGTAAGTGATTGTACTTGGTAGATTGTAATGGCTTAATCCTATATGCAGTCTTAACAATCACTGTTTTAACTGTGTCCTTTCAGACTGGCCAAAGCGAGCATTCCTACAGTCTGAGAAATCCCAGCTCCGGTTCTATATGTCATTGTTGGTTACAGTGATGATTATGACTGTGAGTTTTTTTCTCTTGACAGTGGGATTAGTAGGAGGATGAAACCATTTGGCATCACCACAGCATCGGCACTGTGAGAACTAAAGCCGTGAAATACTGACAGGCTCAAAACAATTTATAGTCTGCCATCTTGGATCTAGTGGTGGTTGCAGACATCAGCTTAGCTTGTGTGCCAGTCGTTTTTACTGTAAGCATGCCATGTGATGCCACCAGCCAGAAATGGGAGTTCAAAGGGTAATCTGTAGACAAGTGCTCTGCTGTGTTGGGCTCCAGCATCAGACGGGCAAAGACAATAGACCTGCTTTACTTATTGTGATTGAAGATTTACATCAATTAAATGAAGAATTTTGAAGGGGTGTTTTTGAACGTCAACAAACCAGTCAACCTGCTAATACTGTAATCTCTCCTGTTTATTCACTTTCCTATGTACAAATTGAAATATAATCTATTAAAGATGGGGTCCCTAATTCTCAAACCACAACACTTGAAAACTTCGTGAGGCTACATTCACCAAAAGTGAATGAAGGAGAAGCATCTTCGGATGTAGTTGTAGTCGAAGACATGATGTTATGGTCTGATTTGTTCAAAACATTTTACTTTTAAACTACTCTTTCTGTTGGCACAAACACTACAAATTATGATATTCCAGCTTTAATTACACAATTTGTGCCAGGGCACTGACAGCCAAAAAACAGACTTCAAAGCATGTTTTCCACTATTCAATTATGTACCAAATTATTAAGCCCTGCAACTTGTATTCTTGGATGGGCTCGGTACAATGTATTCAAATATGAATTTTGCCATAACATTTTGCTTCTCTTTAACCTTGAGCAAGCATATAAGAATGCACCTTTAAGCCAATCGGAGTGAAAAACATGGACACATGAGTGAGGCACATTGGTTTCAGCTATAACTCCTCTTCACACTGTTACTGCCACATGATTAGTGGTCTTTTGATATTCATAATTGATATTCAGATTTCACTAAATGCAATCTACCAAATTTGAGATGTAAATGTAAATGTAAATGTGCAATTTCCCTACGGGGACAATATCCCCGTAGGGAAATTTGCCTTCTGCATTTGACCCATCCTGAGGCAGTAAGGCTAACGTTAGGAGCAGTGGTCGCCGTAGTACAGCGCCGGGGGACCCATCTCCAGATGTTGATGCTCAACTTGGTCAGGACCACCAGAGCTGGAGGACTTAACCTAGTGTGCATGTTTTTAGTGGTAGGGGAAACCCGGAGGAAACCTACGCAGACATGGGGAGAACATGCAAACTCTACTCAGAAAGACCCTGTTACGACCGGGATTCAAACCCAGGACCTTCTTGCTGAGAAGCGAGAGTGCTATCTGCTCAGCCATTGATTTTAGGCCCGTGTTTTACACAGTAGGACTAACCCTTTTGTAATGACTCCATATACTGTATCTCTGGAATCATGCATGTGTTACCAACAGCAAGTCACATAGCGTTATTTTAAATGGCAAAGGGATATATTCTACAGCCTACAAATTATTTTAATTTTCAGGTTCGAATAGACTGCATGTATTGGTACAGTGTCGAGGCGTGATGTTGAGTGTTACTGAGATGAACTGGTTAATGGCAGAATGTATTCGTGACTCCAAATAAATCAGCTTAAATCATACATCATACTTATAAACATAAGTCGTGTTTGCCTGGGCTTTTGTGGTTGCAACAAACAACAACGCAAGGACATGGAATGGCCATAAAACATAAATGATAATGCGAATCAATGTCATGAAAAGCATGAGTCAGATCACTAAAGATGTTGTAACCGGCTGTATTGTAAAGCCTGGAGCTATAATTTAAAACAAGTCGCCATATAAATATAGTTCCACCCTTTGTAATATCTTGAAGTCTAGTCTCTTTCCTGAGCTCACACAATGTCAAAGGTGCACCATGTAACTTTTATAAATGAGGGTATGACTTGCTTGCTCAAAGTAGATGTTCCTGTTTTTCCTGCAGTATTCTATCATGGAACAAATAAACCATCTCAATGGACACATGAGACAGAATCTGACTAGTCATATCTGTGGAGGTACACCAAGCAGTGAGAATGGATCTTCCCCATGCAATTATTAAATTAATGAAAGACATATTGGAAATGGACTTGTTTATTTATTTAGAGTAGCAGAAAAGGTACATACCATAAGAAAAGAGAGCCATAGTTACCTTTGACCTGCAGGGGCCCACAGTCATGGTCCAGTATGTATGTTGTTTTGTCCCCCACTTTCTCTGCTGTGTTTTCAGGAGGCTCCCCAACCACCTATAGTATCCTCAGCGGGTATAGAGCTCATAGTACATAGTCAGTGTGGTTATGATAAATACCCAGGTACTTGTAAGAGTCTGAATGTCCCTGGATGTTCACTGGGGCTCGAGCAGCAGAGTTAGTTTGTGGAAATCTACCACCATCTCCTTGGTCTTTCCTGCTTTGATGAGGAGGTAGTTCTGCTGACACTAAAGTCCTGCATTAGTTCTTGCAGGACACAACCGTCTGTGTGTGTCTGAAGTCTGGGTATTATCATGAGTTTAACCTACATCTCTTTTTTTTTTTCTTTCTTCTAGTTCGCCTGTGCCTTAAAGTTCCTCAGTGACTCTAGCTGATCCCTGTGCACTCGCGCCCACAGCTCTGGTGTCTCCTGACCCTGAGGGGGATGAGGCGGACCGGGAGTCTGCAGCTCCTCCTGCTGCTGGCCTGTACCTCCTGGGCCACAAGTCTGCAAATCCCCCCAGAAGGTGAATACATAACATTCATTATCATTCACAAATCTCAAAATGGAGCATTGCAGCTTTACAGTTATTTTATTTATTGACTTTATGGGCACATTTGAAAAAATAAACTAAAGCGGCTTGAAAAAATACAACACTCACATTTTTAGCATTTATACAAAGGCACTGAAATTGAAATGAAACCATCTTCTTTATCAGTACTTTATTGTACTTTCTCCTTCCGTAGGGCAAACTTTCCACTTCATTGTCCTTTATATTATTGTGCTTATTGGCATTTGTTTTAAGGTCTGAATAATGCCAATAATTTCAAGACAAAAATGATCAATTTTGTGTTTCATGCAATAATATACTGTATATATATGTCATTTTCTGCAATATATACACTTTTTGATTGAACTAGGTACATCTTAAACACAGTATTTCTTGTATATATACCCATACAGCACACCACCATATCCATAGCATACCACAATAACATTTCTTTATATTCACACGCCCCCATATTTTTATTTTTGTTTGATATTCCTCTCGCTGCTCAGTTTAGATGTTTAATCAGCAACTAATTAGTTTTACTACACATTTAGATTTATGACAGAAAACAGACTTGTTTTCTTCCTTCACAGTCTGAACCCTCCAAACCACATTTATATATTCTACTGAGAAAGGAACAACTGTGTATCTCCTACATTAACACTAATATGTTTCTTCAATAAATACATACATTATTGGTACATTTGTTGCCGTGACAATACATTTGATAACTTTCTTCCTCGTGGTTTTACCTTTTAGCTCGTTCGATCAATCATAATAATTAACTACTCCATTTCTCACATAGCTGTACTCTGACCGGCTTCTGTTTGTATTGCATGTTTTTTTTATTGCAGTTGAGCAGCTTCCAACAATAATTAGACAAACATCCAGTCCTATAATCGCACTTCCTTATGACAGCAGTGTTACTATCAGGTGCGAGGCCACTGGGAACCCACAGCCACAGTAAGTCTCTGCTCACAACCAGATCCAGCCAGTTTACACTTCTCATTCATACCGTGGTCATCTTCTAATTTCTTCTTCTGACAGGTTCCGGTGGACAAAAGATGGCGTGGACTTCACTCCGTCTGATCTCACTGACAAAAGCACCGGGACGTTCGTGGTTCAGAACAAGCAGCTCTCTCAGTATCAGGGGACATACAGGTGTTATGCCTCCAACAAACTGGGGACTGCGATGACAGAGGAGATTCAGCTCATAGCTTTAAGTGAGCACACATGAATTCACAGATTTTTCAAAATGACTTGAATTCAGGGTTTTGGCAATCTATTTGTCTTTTTTTTACATTTTGTCATTCATTAAATAAAAAGCTTAATATTTAAAGAGAATGTAGCAGTACAACATGGAGTAAAACGGTTTGGACATCTCTTCAAATAAAAAATCAATCGATTATATAGTTTTGATACAAGATTTAGACGTCATTAATTCCCATAATAAGCGGAACATAAATCCCCACTGCAGAATACAGGTGTTTAGGGAGATGTTTGTACTAATTGGTAAAAAACATTTGAATCAGTTATTGTATTCAGCACAAATCACACATCCTCTTTTGCTGTGCTTGTGCCGGTTCTTAATGATTATGTCAAAAATGGAAGAACAGCAAAATCAACCGTTGTTGAGTGAAGGACAGTAGAGGACATGAAACTAGAGTGGCCCTGTGGAACCAGCTTTTTTCAGAGAATTTTACCTTTGTTTCATATTCTTCAATGCAGTCATTTTGTTTTATTAAATAATGTTTTTACGCCCCACTTAGTGTATAGTATAAATAAATCCATCCACATGAAATGACCTGAATCTGTATTGATCACCTGAATTGAAGTTGTGTAATTTATTCTGATAGATATGTCGAATAATTATGTATTTCCTTGTTTTGTTTCAGCTGTCCCCAAATTTCCAAAGGAGGCACTGGATCCCATAGTGGTAAAAGAAGGAGACCCGCTCGTCCTGAGGTGTAACCCTCCCGTCAGTGTGGTCCCACGTCAGATCCACTGGATGTCCATCAGTAAGACCTTTTCCTCTTAGATGGATGTGCTCCCTCGTCCAGGCCGTGGTAGATGGAAGCTTCAGCGCTCCCATAGCAGAGTATAAATGATGTAGTGTGGAGTAGCTTCAGATTGACAATAGCTCGTAGAGGGCAATCGGATAATATGCCTTTGAAGCATTTTACAACAGACCATTTCAAAGAGTGGCTTTTTAATTTATTTTTGAGTTTGAAATCCCTCTGAAATTCTGCAGAATCATGCAAGTATAATATTCTATACCATATTGAAAATACATTGATATTTTTTTGCAGTATTTTGATAACAATATTTAATTAAAAAATTGACAAAATTTGTAACCGCAGCTAGCGTTTCTTTAACAGATATAAACGATACACTCAATATCCCAATCTTACATTTTCCAGTATTGTGATACTATCCACACATCAATGCGGTGGCCACCTCAAATCACATGCTTGTATTAATATTTCTTTCTAAAACCAGAAGTCGACTTATTTCACTTGTCAGGGGATAGGAATGAGATGACCTGCAATACTGTACTTCAAATGTTTTCAAAAACTGAAGAAGTCCTCCAAAAGCCTGAGTAACAATGTATGGATGCTGTGACCCAATAGTTTATCTTTAAGATTATCACTCAATCTTCACACTTGCACACTCCCTGCTTCAACAACACTGACACTGATTGGTTTATTTTCACTTTCAGAGAAGCGTTTCAAGTTTATTTGTAAAGTCTTTTGTAAATGTTAACAAGAGAGAAGACAAGAGAGTTTCCACCCTGTGTTCTTTTACATACGTACGTACACACACACACACACACACACACACACACACACACACACACACACACACACACACACACACACACACACACACACACACACACACACACACACACACACACACACACACACACACACACACACACACACACACACACACACACACACACACACACACACACACACACACACACACACACACACACACGCTACAGTCATTATGGAGAAAGAACTATTAGCCTCCTAAAAAGGACATGGAGATTTACAGTGTTACCTAAACATTTACATCATCTCTGCCGGTCTCTGCTCATCAGGAAAAAAATAGTGAAGCCAAACACGGTGGTAACTACAGTATGTCAAAACACAGGGGTTTTTAGTCTTATGAGATTCTCAATTGTCTCATACATTTATTAGACCACAAACATAAGGATAATCTACAGGTTTAACAATATTCTGTCTCACACGCACAAAAATGGCATGGCAGCGAGTGAATTCAACAAATACACTTCTTTGTCCTTTCTTCTCAATTTACAGACTGTAGAAAATCTTGTAATCTGTATCCAGCTTTAAGAAGTACTTGGTTAGATATAAGCCAATGTAGTCATATTCAAAAATGATCAAAGGATAAGAAACAAGGAAACCTAAAAATATCAATAGGGATGAACCGCTTTTCTACAATCCAATAATTATCCTTTGAAGTGACTCATTCAACACACTGCAAAAATCAGAACAGTATCTGTTGTGCCAGATCATTTAGATACCATACATATTTTGGACCAAAACTATATAAATCAATCGTTGTTTTTGACAGGTCTAAGAGCAGTTTCCAGAGAACAAATATTTGATATTTGGGTGTGACCTTTTGTTTACCGCCATTTAACTTAGCACTGGCAGTAAGTCAACCAGTCTTTCTGCTTCTGTCTTATGCTTCTTAATGATCCATATTTAATGTTGCCCTCTGCGTGACTCCTGGTGACAACATCTGTTTAAAGGAGACATTATGCAAATTTTTCTTTTGAGCATTTAACCATGTTACAACATTCAACCAACAAAAAACACAGACCTGAAGTTGTTGTAGCTCCTTCCATTCCACTCTAAAAACCAGAAACTTCCAGGACATATACTGTATATATCCCTCCACCTGTTTGGCCTCAATTCTCCTATCTGACATCTATCTTCTATCTCCCTTCTATCCCTGTGATGAATTATCCTTGTTTTTACCTTGCCGAAGAAGAAGGGGATGCTTCGGGACTTGAATTGGAAAAGCAAAATCTTTGTGAAGCCCTCCCATTGTGATTTTGGGCAAAACAAAATCAACTTAAATTGTTGTAAATTACATGTTTAGAGATTTGTTTCTGCTTTTTAAAACAAATGCGGTGAAATTACGTTCTTTACAACCTTTTGACTGAATTTTACGCAATTAAATAATTCACTTCCCCCTGGTGGGGAAGTGAAAAGTGGGGAACGACATGCTTAGATATTTTGTTGTTATTCATTACACATGTTTATCCGTATATATTTCCTACTGTCTAAATCATGGTATGTAAAGTGATAGGTTCTCATGTTTAAGGACCAAACCTAATAATACTACATACATATGGCATTGTCTTTCTTCTAACAAAGCTGCCTCTCTGCATGTTTCAGATCTGCAGCACATTCCTCAGGACGAGCGTGTTTCCATGGGGATCGATGGAAACTTGTACTTCTCTCACGCCTTACAGAACGACAGCAGGAGAGACTACACCTGTGTGGCCGCTTTCAACAAGATCAGAACTATTATCCAGAAGAGCCCCATGACGGTGCAAGTGCAAAGTGGTATGTTCACATTTTGAATCCATTTCGTCTGAAGTGAAAGTTTCTGGAAGATCAGAGCTTTAAGCAGTCAGGCTTCTTTTCATTCAAACAGTGATACCTTAAAAATGTCAAGGTCGCAAATAAGTATGAGCCGTCTTTTCACAGCTGTGGCTACTCTTGAAATCATCATTGCCTACAGATATTACCTAAATAACGATAATCAAAAGTTTATCCAGTTGATATTTGACCTGCCACAAACAGGTTCCAATAGCTATTAACTATTAACAAATTCTTGACAATAAATGGCTTCACCCAACCACCACCATAAGCGGCAGTAAATCTCATGTAGAAATGGCCCAAAGAAAACAAACATACTGCCTGGTAGCATGATCAGGTTTCCACGGAAAGTGAAATGGAAAAACATTTGGCACTGATATTAATTCTGTGTCAGTATCTGAGAGCTGATTGGCTGAGCAAGAGTGGTCTATAGGTGTGACAGAGACCAACCATGCATGCATCTGAAAAGTAACAATAGAGCCAAACTGTTTTGAGAGGGAGGAACTTCATATCATTCATATTTTGTTTTATTTTAAGTAAGTAGCTCCACATTCATTGAATTAGTGCATTGATAGGATTGCCTTTCTTTTTTTATAAACAAGAAAAAGAACTATTTTCAGACACTGCTTTATTCGTCATAGATATTGATATGTCACAGTTGAAGATGTTACCCCAGAGAGAGCGTCCCACTGCTCACCCACGTTGCAAACATCTCACACAATCAATTGTCTTTGTTAACGAGCTCTGTGACAATCTGATTACTGTCTGCGTATGTGACGAGCTGAGAACGATAATACAATACATCCATGGCTGAGACATGTTCCATTCTGGTCCCACTGTGCCCCCGTGCAGACGCTGCCCCCGCGCCCAGCAAACCCACGGTGCTGCTGCCCTCTGGTGTTCAGTCGGAGATAGTGCTGCTCAAGGGGAAGGATCTCAAGATGGAATGTCTGCCAGGAGGATTGTAAGAATATTTATATTTGATGAATTGAAGACGTGCTGGATTATTTAGCACTTTGTTGCTTTTAATATGTGTTGTTTTAAAAATCTCATCTCACAGTTTTAATTTTCTTCCTGTCTTTAGTTATGTTGTTGTCTTTGTCTATTTTGGGCACATTTTGGGTAATATTTCACGAATATTCCAATTTTAACAATACCAGTTAAAAAGTAATTCTATTAAAAAGTATTATTATTAACACAAAAATTGTTTATTGTCTTAAAGGGCACTTATAAGTAATCACTGTGTTTGGTTTTTCTAGTATTTTTTCTCGTATCAAAATATTAGTTATATACTTTTGTCATTCTAATGTTGAGACATCACTATTTTTTATGTTTCAAATGTTACTTTCAGGTGGTAAATGATAACATCACATGAGGGATTTTACCCAGAGACCTGACAAATCAAATCTAATGTAACAGAAATAAAGAACATACCTTGACCATTTTATCATTATTATTATATTTCCAAATGTTATTTAGAAACTGTATAAAGTAAGTAAGTTAGTAAATAAGGAACTAATCTTTATTTATATACAGCCTTTCACAGACCAGAGTCACAAAGCGGTTTACAATTGTGGGCATTTCTCACTCCGCACAGAGATGGGAGGCTCATGCCAGACCTATTGTACATGTTTTTAGTGGTAACCGGAGACTACTACTCGTTCTACATAAATCATTTTTCTTTAAATAATAAATACTATTATTTATGTTTTAAACTTTCATCATTCAGTCATTCCACCAGAGAAAGTCAAGTCCACCAGAGAACTGATCTGTCTGTGCTTTAAGTAATCATGGTTTACAGATGAAAAACATATTTACTCAGCCCTTAGAGCATACAAAAAGAATATAAACATCAAAAGCCGTTAAATCTCCTCATAGTCTCAGCACATACTACTATACCACCACTATACTACTTTACTAATGCAGTACCACTGAGGATATTATGTCCATGTTTACTGTGTGCAAGAGTATTTCTACAGCAAATCCGCTTCCTCACTGTCATCTCTGTTTTGCCACTGCAGCCCCACGCCAACAGTAGAATGGATTAGGATGGGAGACAGTCTTCCTGAACGTACCAAATATGAAAACTTTGGAAGGCTGCTGACAGTTTCCAACGTGGACGAGGGCGTGGAAGGAAAATACATGTGCAAAGCCCAGAACAGTGAAGGAGAAGAAGTGCACTACATTGACGTCATCGTGGAGGGTGAGTCACAACTACATATACATTCTCAACATTGTTAGTATGACTGCAAAACATTCCAATCACTCTTGAAATATATCAGCTACCTATTCTACAGTGCCATAATCAGGTGACCACAGCAACAAAGTCATCAGTGTTTGTTTTGTTATATGTTTTATCTGTAGTGCGAGCTCTGACACTGCTCTCGACTCACTTGCTTTTTGTTATTTTTTGTCCTCAACCTGCGATACGTGGATGATTCCATGTTGTTTTTGTTTCTAAATTTGGGAAAAGAATCTGCTGCGATAATGCCACTTTATAGAAGCCTTCAAAGAGGGTGTGGCTTGCCAAGCTAATGGCCTACGATAGTAATAACAGCTATGATTATGTAACATAATGAGGAGGCTCAAATCAATGCAAGAATGAATAGAAAACTCAGCAGTCTTTCTTTAGATTTTGATCATTATTAAGATTTAAAATATAACACTTTTGGGCTCCACACATATCCCACAGCTAAAGCATATACTGTACTTGTGTCATCTATAAACATGATCCTGATGTTGACTTGTGTCCCCAGAGCCTCCTCAGTGGCTGAGTGAGGCGCCCCAGAGCCAGCTCTCTGTGATTGGCTCTGATGTCCACATCAGGTGTGCAGTCAGTGGAAAACCGGTGCCAGACATCACATGGAGGAAGAATGGGGATATTTTCAGAGGTGAGGGAGAGTAATTGTTGTTGGGGTTTGAAGCCTCCATTGCCGTTGGGCAGATGGACTGAGCTGTGGGACTCTGAAGACAAATTGAAGTTGGCAAAAAACTTCAGAAGAGTGTTTTTCAAACTGCATGAGAGACCTGACTATTGAGAACAATTATTTCATAGATGTTTTGAAGAAAAGACTTAAACTCGACGGATGGCACCATTATTACACATTCCATTGCTTTCCGTTTTCAATAGAAAACGGAAAGCAATGCTTTTTATAGTGTTTGTCAAGATAACTTTATGAATCACTAACGGGTCAAAGAAAGTGGAAGTTTATTTACAAAAGACATACAAGGTCACAGGTTAAACTTATGACTTTGTAGAAAGAAAATGCAGAATGTCTTAGTGCTGCTGGATTTCTATTGTGACTTTGAGCCAATAGAAATGTATTTTGTAAGAAATAACTGACCTGAAACAAAGGATGTAAAGGAAATATTATTTAGTCCACATATTAACATTATTAAATGTCTGGGTCTTGTCATGTTGTAGAAACGTATCCAAATTGCAAACTTAGTTTAGAAATACAAATGTATTCAACACATTTCAATGCTATTGCGATGGAGTAATAAACAGGCACAGATCTGAAAGTAATGTTGTACATGTAAGTTCATGTGAAATGTTTCCAGATGACCCAGATCAGAAGAAGCGTGTTCTGGAGGACTCAGTGGTTCTACACAATGCTAGTCCTGAAGACAGCGGCGTTTATCAATGTGAAGCCTCCAACCCGCACGGCTCTCTGCTGGCCAACGTTAACATCATGGTCATGAGTGAGTCAGTTATAATCTTCTTTGTCTTTATGTCGACAGGGAGGGCTCAAGACACTCTTACTCATGGCTGTGTCCACACATATTCATAAGAGGAATAATAAAACAGTGTTTGTATGGTTATGTTAATACACCAAATTATATAAAAATAGTAATAAAATGAGATGCAAAATGTTTCATCACCTTCTTCCAGAGACCAGCTCTTGTAGGAAGAGTTTTTCAAAGCAAATGGCCGTGAGATCTGTGTTCAGAGAGCGGAAATTCCATATTGGACATTTGATAATCAGTCATGTTGTTGAAGTTACTTTTTAATCAAAACATATCCAAAATATAGCTTTTCTGGACAATAATTCATTATGCGCGAAGAACCTGAACCAAATATTTGCTGTGAATGTGCGATGAAACCTTATTATTGCTGATGTCAAGGTTTTCCATGGTGCATATGTGAGCGTTGATATAAACTGTATTTTAAAGGTTTCTTTTGTAGGGAAAGTCTTTAATGCAAGAGGAATTCAAATCAAGACGATATAGAGAAAAAGTTGAATCATTATGTAGGGTTAGGGTCAGTTATCCGGTATGCAAGTACTCACAGCAGAAGAAGATGACTTTTTAACTTGTACATATTTCAACTTTGATATATTGTTATTATTTAATACAGTCACTGAGTGTTTCCAAAGATTAAGAATTTAGTTATGGCTGTCAGGGCTTTTTATACAGTGTGCTTCTCATGCGCCGCGTGTATGCTCCAACATCATCATAACTGCTAATATAAGTTATCAGGAAATGATCACACAACATTACATTAACTTTGGGAATTTGATACAGACTCAGCTTCTGCAGGATAAATTAGTGCATTTCTGCTCTTGAAAGCATTATGAGTATGGGTTTTTGCTTCAAGTATTTAAAAAAAACAAAACTCATGCACTGAGGAACTATGTATTGATCCCGAACAAACACAACATACATATTTATCTGTAGCATTACCTCATTCAACAACATTTGTTTTCAAGAATTGGGAAGGGCCTAACCCCAATTTCTTTAAAGACTAACAATGATTTTTTTTCCCTCTGTCTTCAAAGAGTAAAGTGAAAGTTTAAATCTAACAATCCGTCTGTGCTCTTACTTTACCATGTGTCTTCAGCTGTTCGTGTTTTATTCTCTAACAGCTTGTTAGTACATCTGTCGTCTGAACATTGTCTGTAATATATTTACGTCTCTTTCAGATATGGCTCCCCTGATCCTTTCTGCAGACCTCCAGGAGTACGCCGTGGTTCAGGGAGGTGACATTGTTCTGAACTGCAGTGTGTTTGGCTCTCCTCCACCAACAATCTCCTGGTAAGTCCTCCACCAAAGAAGCATTTTATACAGCTTCACTAAAGAAGTTCTTTTGGTGCATTTTTCTCAGTTCACAAAGAAATCCATTTTTAGCAAGTAAGTAGGACAGTAAGTAATCTTTATTCATATCGTGCATTTTTAGGTCACCCAAAGCACTTTACAATGTTCAGAGTTCAGATTGTTCCATTCTCTCCAAACATGGTGATGACAGAAGCGAGACATTGTACTCACTGGTGCATCAAAGACCTCTGACCAAACACCGTCCATTCACTTACTCATTATATTCATTTCTTTTTTGCACTCCGGTCAGAGAAGCCCTGTTCCGACAGGGATTTGAACCCAGGACCTTCTTGCGGAGAAGTGAGAGTGTGTCGCCCATCTTTGAAGCTGTTTTAACAGGCATTAAAACAGCTTCAAAGACAAAGTTATGTCTCGTTTCACAAATGTAGAATCAAACTTAAATAATTTGGGAATCTTTTACTTCAAGCCAAAATAAATTGTCCTTGTGCATTTAATAATTACAAACAACCTGTAACAGAACTAAGATAAGATCGACTAAATGGATCTCACATTTGCCGTAAATAGTATCATTCAGGTTGTGCAAAAGACAGGAATAGCGCAAACAGGGAATGGGCATAAATGTTCAAAAGTGATAACATATTATCATTTGTGTAAGATATATTACGTGGAATTAAATGAAAAACTATGTTAACAAGTACCTTTCACTTTTCTAGGGCACCAATTGATTTTTGACTCCGCTACATGAACTGTGCGTTTTCAGTGTTAATTGTTAGCTATAATAACAATTATCCAACAGGTCTTCTTACCACAGCAGCCGAGCGCCAGGTGTTAAAAATAAAGCAATTTTCACCGTTTTGCGTGGGAGGAAATTGGTCCTGCCTAACTGCATTGGGTGCACTAATAATCCCCAAATGCTTGAGGTGTCTATGTGCCAGAGCCTGCTGACACCTGCGCAGCTTTTAATGAGATATTTTCTTTCATTTGTAGGATACGATTAATTAAATAAGCTTTGTCAGAACAGAATGTTGTTGACGTGACATATAATATATAGTTTGAATAGACGCTTTAGACATTGATTGATTGAAACATATTATTTCTCTACCAGACGTAAAGCATCTCAGAGAGATGACCTTACTTGAAGAATGGGGATTTTAATGAATGGGAATTGAGAACAACAAAGACTTTTAATTAGCTGCGCGGCAAAAAAAAACAAAAAAGACACAAATTATACAACTCCAATCAACTTTCGTTTTGACGCAATTGTAATTTTACTCCTATTCTTGTCAGTGTTTCTAGGCAACATGGCTGTCTAATTAGTTCGGAACGTTAAAGCAGGTTTGACGTGTTCTCTTCCAGGGCCAGAAATGAGACTTTAGAAGACATCGGAGGGGTGCACTTCTCGGTTCTGATGAACAAATCACTGCAGCTCATCGGTGCGGAGAAAAACCACAGCGGGGAATATGTGTGTGCAGCCTCCAACTCAGAGGGAAAGTCTTCAATCACCGCCCTGCTGGATGTGAAAGGTACTGGTAAAAGTGTAACAAGTAACTAAAAAAGGCCAACCACAAGAGGGTATATTTCTCAGCAGCTTGAAAGTAGTGGCATTTGAATGTTTAGTCAATTGTGTTTTTGTTGGGATGTACTGTATGTACTCAAACATATAGTTGTGCTTGAAAGTTTACACGCCCAGCCAGATTTCATTCTTTTATATTTTGGAAATGGGGTATGATTATGAATACACTTAATCGCTCTTTGTTGTGGTGTGTGAAGCCAAATATTGTCTAAAAAGCATTTTTCTATTTTCAAAGTATTGCCGCTCTAGGGAGATTTTACATGTGCAATTCATGCAAGAATTTATTGGAGGAATGCATTGCCAGGTTGAACATCAGACAAAATATTAACCTTAATCTACCACACAAAACTCATAGAGGTTAAAGGGGAAATATTTCTGTTGTCATGGTGATTACCCCTGCCCTAGCCTGGTCTTACCACACCATTGTACTCATTTCATGTAGGGAAATGTTAAATGATTGGAGTTTACAAAGGTCAGTTTAGCCTGACCTTCTGGGCCCAGGAGGTAATCCAATTTCCTCCTGGGTAAATTCAAATAGCGTTTTTCTATTTGTTTGTCTGTGAGCAGCATAACTCAAAAAGTTATGGGAAGATTTGATCATAAATGTCTGGTAATGTGCACAATTGCCCACTGGAGAAACTGATTACACTTTGGAGGTGAGCTGAGACACTGTCTGGAAGCGTTTTTTTTTTTTTTTGGGACTGGGACTCTCTTGGGCTCTACAAGTACTGGTCAGGTGTGAAATAGACGTGGTGTGAAGAACTTTTGTACATTGTTATGTTGCCTACTGCACTTAGTATATAAATACAGTGCCTTGCGAAAGTATTCGGTCCCCTTGAACCTTTCAACATTTCAGGCTTCAAACATAAAGATATAAAATTTTATTTTTTTGTCATGAATCAACAACAAGTGGGACACAATCGTGAAGTGGAACGAAATTTATTGGATAATTTAAACTTTTTTAACAAATAAAAAACTGAAAAGTGGGGCGTGCAATATTATTCGGCCCCTTTACTTTCAGTGCAGCAAACTCAGTCCAGAAGTTCAGTGAGGATCTTTGAATGATCCAATGTTGTCCTAAATGACTGATGATGATAAATAGAATGCACCTGTGTGTAATCAAGTCTCCGTATAAATGCACCTGCTCTTTGATAGTCTCAGGGTTCTGTTTAAAGCGCAGAGAGAACCATGAAGACAAAGGAACACACCAGGCAGGTCCGAGATACTGTTGTGGAGAAGTTTAAAGCCGGATTTGGATACAAAAAGATTTCCCAAGCTTTAAACATCTCAAGGAGCACTGTGCAAGTAATTATATTGAAATGGAAGGAGTATCAGACCACTGCAAATCTACCAAGACCCGGCCGTCCCTCCAAACTCAAGCAAGGAGAAGACTGATCAGAGATGCAGCCAAGAGGCCCATGATAACTCTGGATGAAATGCAGCCAGCGAAAGTTCAATTTGGTAGACGTCAGCCAAAGGTAACCCCTCCAGGCCGGTTCTCATCCCCAGCCTATCGCACGGCAAACGCCCCCTTCCAATCACCGGTCCAGCCAGGCAAGCTGCTTAAAAGCGGAGGAACTCCCATTCTCGGCCTTCTCGAAGCCTGCATAGAACCGTTCTGGAGGAATCGCTTGTCTACTCACGCTTACTCGTTGCATGTGTCCCTGCTGTCCTCTGTCTTGCTGCGTGTGGTCCGCTCCTCCTCCGCGTCGCTGCACCTGCTGCGGGTCTCGTGCTGTGGTCCGTGGGTCTTTGCCGCTCTCCTCCTTTGCGGGCTCTTTCTGCGGGTCCGCCGCTGCTCGTCTCGTCGCGGCCTGCTGCTGCATACGGCCGGTCTGGACCGGTGCGGTGGGAGCCGTGCGCATCCCTGCCTCCTCGTGCCGGTACGGCGTGGTCCCGTCGTGTTGTCCCTTGTCTTCTGGCGTTGTGGGTAAGTATGAGACCTGCGGACGGTTTATTCCCCTCGCATTGTACTACAGGCTCAGTTGGCCCCGTGCATTGGTGTGCCAGCTTCATTTTAAAGCCCTCGCATGTTCTGCAGGCTCTCTTAACCAAGCTCCGTTAAATTCTTCACTCTGACTGCAAGCTCCGTTATTCCTCACATTGGACTGCAAGATCTCAGTTTAATCCCTCACATTGGACTGCGTGCTCAGTTTTAATCCCTCACTTTGGCCTGCAGGCTCTGTTTAAATCCCTCTCTTTGGACTGCAAGCCCCGTTTAAATCCCTCTGGACAGGAAAAGAAGAAAAATATGGTTCTGCTCATATCTGGAACGCTTATATATAAAAATAAATAAATATAAATAAATATAAATATGAATAAATATAAATAAATAAATAAATACATAAATAAATACATTAAATAAACTGCAGGCTCTGTTGGATCCCTCACACTGGACTATAGGCTTTCGGTTAAACTCCTCACTTGGTCTGCGGGTTCAGTTAATCCCTCACTTGGACCGTAACAACTGTTAAATCCCTCACACTGGACTGCAGCTCTCGGTTTAATCCCTCACTCGGACTTCAAGCTCTCAGTTATAAATCCCTCTTTTAGGACTGCGGGCTATGTTGAATCCCTCACCTGGACTACAAGCTCTCAGTTTAATCCCTCACCTCGGACTACAGGTTGTTTAACTCCCTCGCACCGGACTGCAGGCTCTCCGTTAGACGCCTCACTTGGACTGCGGGCTCAGTTTTAATACCTCACTTGGACTGCAAGCTCTATTTAAATCCCTCACATTAGACTGCAAGCTCTGTTTAGGTCCCTCGGCGTCTCGTGTCCCGCAACCTCTTCCCGGCTCTCCGTGAGCCCCAAGTCGGCACGCGGCTCGGGCGCGGGAGGTGTCCGTGGGCTACGTCATCGGCCCCTTCTCTCCGTCTCGCTCTAACCCGATGGGCATCGCCACCCGCAAGCACTCCAGGAAGAAGCGTCTCATACTCGTCCTCTCCTGTCCCCGCTCCGGGCCCGCCCGAGCATCCACAGCCCCTTCCCTCCAGCGCCCTTCTCCCTGCAGTCCGCTACCATGGACCACGCGATCAGGCTGATAAAGACTTTCGGCCCCGGCTCCTGGCTCTCCAAGGCCGTCATCCCGGACGCGTTCAAGCTGCTGCCATCCACCCCGACCACTGGCGCTGTTCAGGGGTCAAGTGGCGTCGGAGTTCTTCTTCGCAGTGCGCCTCACCTTTGTCTGCCGGAGTAGTCCCTCTCTGTTCAACAATCTCTCGGAGGCGCCGTGTCCGTTTCTGCTTAATTACGCGCGGCTCCCCTCTGCCTGCATTTCCCCGATAATTCCCTCGTAGTCAACCCACCCTCAGACTGCTCCGGGGGCTCTCTCCGCAAGCTCAGGCCCGCCTTCTCTGCCCTCGGATTCCTCCACTACGGAAAGACCACAGGCCCCGCCAACGCTCTGGAGTTTCTCGGCATCCGCCTCGACACACGCGCCATGGAGGCCTCCCTCCCGCTGGACGAGCTCGAACGCATCCGCGTTTCTCCCGGTCTGCCTGGCCTTCCCGTCACTTCGAGGGGTCCTTGCTCTCCCTCCTCGGGTATCTTCATTATGCCGTCCGTATCATTCCCCAAGGTCGTTCTTTTATTCCAGACTCCTCTCCCTCGCCGGCTCCGTCTCCTCCCTCAACGATGCTGTCTGCCCGGACGCGGGGCGCCGCTCCGACCTGGCGTTCCGGTCCCGTCTGCAGAGCCGCCGGGACGGTGTATCTCTTTTTTTTTTACAGTGACATCATCCTGTCTCAGATGCCCCGCGGTTTTTCACGGACGCAGCCCCGTCCGTGGGTTTTGGGGGTTTTCCAGGACCAGTGGTTCGCCGGGCCCCGGCCCGACACTTTCCCTCGAAGCATCTCCTCCGCGCTCCACGAGATATATCCCATGACCGTAGCCTGCGTGCTGCGGAACCATACGTGGCATAGGAAAGGATTTCCGTGACGTGCGACAACCTCGACGTCATTAAAATAATTAACAGAGGTTGTTCATCCTCTCCCCAAATCACACCCTCCTTAGACGCATCACATGGCTCTCAGTCCTGAACATTTTATCATCACTGCTCGTCACGTCCCTCGTCACCTAACTGTCTTGCTGACTCTCTCTCTCGCTTTAAATTCCAGGAGTTCTGACGCCTCTGCCCCTCTGCCAATCCATCGCCATGCCAGATCCCCTGCACGGAATCCCTCGCCCTGGTCTAGTCCCTCCGTCTCTTCACCTTCTCTCCTCCGCTGCATCCTACATGAAAATGGGCTTCTGACACATAAGCGAATTCACAAACTCTCACGCCACCTTTAAATGCATCCCGAGACATTGCCTCTCTGACCTGTCATATTATCCCGACTACTTCAACCTCCACCTCAAGCATCCAAACGCAAAGGCGCTTGCAATATAGTCATAGCCCGGTCTGACACTTCTCCCTGTCCCTATAGATCCATGATGCAGTACACTCGCCTCCGCTCTCGGAAAGGAGATCTCAACGGACCGTTATTTCTTACCCCCGATAACCTCCCTATGTCCTCCAACTGGTTCAGAGCCCAACTCAGGTCCGTACTGCTGCTTTGTAACATGTCTCCCCATCTCTACACAGCCCACTCCTTTCGGATAGGCGCCGCCACGCGCGCCGCGTCCCTGGGGCTCCCCTATTCCGCCCTCCAGCAGCTGGGCCGCTGGTCATCATCGGCCCTCTCCTCATACATCAGGCCTGACACTTCTTCCATCCTGGCAGCCCAGCGGCTTTTGGCATCTTCTTAAAATGCTCGCTAAACTTCCTGGTGGCGGCAGCAGCTGAGGATCCGCAAGTTTGGTCACAGTAGATAGCGGTCACAGCATATAGCGATAGCGGTCACAGCATATAGCGATAGCGGTCACAGCATATAGTGATAGCGGTCACAGTATATAGCGATAGCGGTCACAGTATATAGCGATAGCGGTCACAGTATATAGCGATAGCGGTCACAGTATATAGCGATAGCGGTCACAGCATATAGCGATAGCGGTCACAGTATATAGCAAAAAATGGTTAGCGGTCACAGTATATAGCAAAAAATGGTTAGCGGTCACAGTATATAGCAAAAAATGGTTAGCGCGCGATGGTCGCGACTCGTCAGCATATAGCGATAGCGGTCACAGTATATAGCGATAGCGGTCACAGTATATAGCGATAGCGGTCACAGTATATAGCGATAGCGGTCACAGTATATAGCGATAGCGGTCACAGTATAGAGTAGTCTCGACGTCTGTCCCCTCCAAACCAGGCTGCAAAACTCCATCAACTCACAACCTTTTTTGGGGATTGGCTCGCTCCTTCGCATGGAGGCCCTCCGATCCGAAGGCCGCACCGGGGCCTAGGGCGCCAAACCTCCTCCCAATAAAATACTCAAAGCTTCTTGTTTCTCGTCTCTCCAAATTGAAATGCAGCCAGCGAAAGTTCAATTTGGTAGACGTCGGCCAAAGGTAACCCCTCCAGGCCGGTTCTCATCCCCAGCCTATCGCACGGCAAACGCCCCCTTCCAATCACCGGTCCAGCCAGGCAAGCTGCTTAAAAGCGGAGGAACTCCCATTCTCGGCCTTCTCGAAGCCTGCAACCACCGCCTCCCCTCCTCCTCCTCTTCACCCTGCCTTCATTCTGCCTTCAATCTGCTTCCCGCTGCAAATGCCGCCACCAGTGCCTAGGTCCCGGGGGATTGGCTCGCTCCTTCGCATGGAGGCCCTCCGATCCGAAGGCCGCACCGGGGCCTAGGGCGCCAAACCTCCTCCCAATAAAATACTCAAAGCTTCTTGTTTCTCGTCTCTCCAAATTGAACTGCAGATAACTACAGCTGAGGTGGGAGAGTCTGTCCATAGGACAACAATCAGTCGTGCACTGCACAAATCTGGCCTTTATGGAAGAGTGGCAAGAAGAAAGCCATTTCTCAAAGATATCCATAAAAAGTCTTGTTTAAAGTTTGCCACAAGCCACCTGGGAGACACACCAAACATGTGGAAGAAGGTGCTCTGGTCAGATGAAACCAAAATCGAACTTTTTGGCCACAATGCAAAACGATATGTTTGGCGTAAAAGCAACACAGCTCATCACCCTGAACACACCATCCCCACTGTCAAACATGGTGGTGGCAGCATCATGGTTTGGGCCTGCTTTTCTTCAGCAGGGACAGGGAAGATGGCTAAAATTGATGGAAAGATGGATGGAGCCAAATACAGGACCATTCTGGAAGAAAACCTGTTGGAGACTGCAAAAGACCTGAGACTGGAACGGAGATTTATCTTCCAACAGGACAATGATCCAAAACATAAAGCCAAATCTACAATGGAATGGTTCACAAATAGACGTATCCAGGTGTTAGAATGGCCAAGTCAATGTCCAGACCTGAATCCAATCGAGAATCTGTGGAAAGAGCTGAAGACTGCTGTTCACAAACGCTCTCCATCCAACCTCACTGAGCTCGAGCTGTTTTGCAAGGAAGAATGGGCAAGAATTCTAGTCTCTCGATGTACAAAACTGATAGAGACTACCCCAAGCGACTTGCAGCTGTAATTGCAGCAAAAGGTGGCGCTACAAAGTATTAGCGCAAGGGGGCCGAATAATATTGCACGCCCCACTTTTCAGTTTTTTATTTGTTAAAAAAGTTTAAATTATCCAATACATTTTGTTCCACTTCACGATTGTGTCCCACTTGTTGTTGATTCTTGACAAAATTTTTTATTTGTATATCTTTATGTTTGAAGCCTGAAATGTGGCGAAAAGTTGAAAGGTTCAAGGGGGCCGAATACTTTCGCAAGGCACTGTACATGTGGGAATATAAAACATCTGCCTGGGTGTGTCATTTGGAAGCACAAGTGAAACTGTTTCTTCCTGATGGAATCATCACTTACTTATGATGGTGTTTATTTATTTGTCAGATCCGACGAGAATTGTGTCCCCGCCCCAGAACTTACAGGTCGTCAGCGGGACAGCGGCGCAGCTAATGTGTCGGGCTGAGTTTGATAAAAGCCTTGAAAAAAGCTTTGAGGTGACATGGAAGAAAGATGAAGAGGAGATACCACTTAACTTTGAAGAAAAGTAGGTGCCATTTCTTTGAGTCTGTTTATTGATTTGCAAATGTGTTTTAAATGAGATATGCCATAAAAGCTTATGCTTCCCATTCTAATGAAAGCAGCGGTCTGACTTCAAGGCCGCTAATGCTACTGTATGTTGGCGATGATTGATGCATTAACAGGACCTTGAGAATAAAGCCGACGGATGGATAGTTCTGTATTAGTGCCAGACTCCAGAGTGGACTCAACCTTGAGACTGGACTCTGTCTTTAGACTGGACTTGACCTTAAAGGAATAGTTCACCGTTTTTACATACTGACATATGTTCTTACCTTACCTTAGACTAGTTAATATGTACCTGTCTGGTCTTAGTCCGTGCGCTCTGTCATGCAAACGGAGCAAAAACGGGAGCACAAACGCAGCCTCCTCTGTATATTGTGTAGGACCAAAAGGTAGCTCCGCTAGAAGCTACCAAACTCTTCCAAGTGTTCCCTATTAAATGTATATAGTTACGTGACGCTACGTCCGCGCACTAACTTCTCTCCGGAGACTTCTCTCTCGCTGCTACTGTGTGTACTACAAGTCACGCTGCTTCTATTGACGGAAGTGAGCGAGAGAGAAGTCTCCGGAGAGAAGTTAGTGCGCGGACGTAGCGCTCCTCAGATTACTACGCCTCACAATATAGTACCCGTTTTATCCGCTGAGAAAATCGACAGTTACATTTCTGTGTTACTATACTTTGCAGTGTAACACGTCACGTAACTATATACATTTAATAGGGAACACTTGGAAGAGTTTGGTAGCTTCTAGCGGGAGCTACCTTTTGGTCCTACACAATATACAGAGGAGGCTGCGTTTGTGCTCCCGTTTTTGCTCCGTTTGCATGACAGAGCGCACGGACTAAGACCAGACAGGTACATATTAACTAGTCTAAGGTAAGGTAAGAACATATGTCAGTATGTAAAAACGGTGAACTATTCCTTTAAGCCTGGACTCAGCACTTTAGATTGGACACGGTTTTGAGACTGGCTCGCACACAGTTTTTTGGTCTGGTTTTAGCATGGGCAGATTCTTGGAATTCACAGATTTGAGGTCTGACCAGAAACTTTCGGTTTTAATTTGACCAGTTATTGGTATTAGTAAATAGGATAATTGTATGAAGATTAGGTAGATTTTACCCTTTGTTTAAGTAAAAGTATAAATGTACTTCAATAGAACGTAACATGCATTTTTGTCAAATAACTGACAACATAATTATACCATTGTCCAAGTGTATCCAAAGCTATTATCTCAGTTTAGAAGCATGGCTAACAACAATGTATTAATTTGTCACTCTTTCCCCTATATTTTATGTCTCATCATTTTTTTTAAGGGTTTATAATCTTGGTACAAATATGTGGGTTTAAAGGTAAGGAGTAAAGTTCAGATTCCAGAAATAATACATACGTACTGTACTTAAAGGCAATGTCAGCAAATTCAATTGTAATTCATGTTTAGAATAATGTAATTTTTTGAAGATTTGCTGGGGTATAATAGTTAAACTTTTGACGAGGAACCTAAAGAATTTAAATACATTTTGACTAATCAGAAGATTGTACAGGCTAACCAGTCAAAACAGTGCTTGTCTTCAAAAACTTTCTAAATCTCTTCACATTGGGAAAACACATTCACTTAAAGTAAAAATACTTAAAGTTACTTACACCTCTGGTTCTGACAATAGGTCAGCGACATCCTATTGTTACTTCTGTTATATAATTCTCTTGCGCACGGAGCACATTCATGCAGTCTGTGTTGATGATGGGTGATAGCTTCACAGCACTTTGGACCAAGCACATTACACCTGCATGTGTGCCTTGCATGTGAGAATCTTCATTTCCTCTTTCACTTTTCCTCCTCACTGCTAGGGGTGGGCGATATGGCCTAAAATTCATATTGCGGTATAATTTGGGACACAGACGGTAGACGGTATATATTGCGGTATAATTTGGTGTGAATTTCAATATAGGTCTAGCAGGTTCTTGCATAAAATAGTCAAGATTGTTACTTATTTATATATTAGAATCTAATATATATATATATTTTTTAGTTATTCAGTGAGACGAATAAAGAGACAAATGTTGTAACATACATTATTTATGTATGTTACAGTAAATACCGTTCACTGTAAAAGCAATTTTTAAAAAGAAAAACATGTGCATTCATTTAGAATATAAAAAACTCACAAATGTTGAAATCAAAGTCTGTAGGAGTTAGACATGGTCATTATTTATAGTGTCTGAGAGTTTTGTGCAGGTGCATGACTTCAGTAAAAGCTATTGTTCGTTTACAAAGCTGGTCTTGCCATTTGTTGACGCTCCCTAAGCGCTTTTCTCTGCGCTTGCAATGAACTGGATGATTCAATGGATTTTATGTTCATTAAAACAGGGCATTGGATTTGAACAATTGATGTAAATGATCATTTTGGCACAAATCATTTTGTTTAACAAAGTAGCTTTCGTGAGATATTGACCGCGGAGGTCTGAATCTGACGCTAACTTTCGCAAACTTCTGCTGTGATGCTGCGGACACGGCACACGCATGGATCTATTTTGGCTCACACTGGCGCTTCGAGCCTACGCCCCTTTGACACTGATTGGCCAAAAGGTAGACTCTTACTGTGATTACTGTGTGTATTTACCTCTGCTGGGGCCGCTGTGACAACAATACATAGACAGAAACACGGTGTGAATGCCGTGCTGTTGTTCGTTGTTTCCAGTGGTGTCCAATAGTGCTAGGCTAATGCTAGGCTAATGTGCTAGGCTAATGCTGCTGAATGCCGGTTTGTTTTGGTCCTTTCTGCTGGCGTCAGAGCCTGCGCAATTTAATGACATAATGACCTATCGCAATATGCCGGTATAACAAAAATCTCTACCGTGGGCCAAATTTATATCGCATACCGCTTATACCGTTTATATCGCCCAGCCCTACTCACTGCATATGACTCACACTGATTTTAAGAGCAATCTTGAGACTAAACTCAATACAAAAAAAATCTATATCTAAACCAACATAGACAGAGTACAGATGTTTATTGAAACTCCAGCTATTAATGGGTGGCACCCAGAACAGATGCTTGAGCCACCTCAACTGGCTCTTCTATGTGTGGAGAAGTAGGAGCTCTACTCCGAGCTCTATCTCTATGGAAAGGGCCAGCCACTCTGCGGAGCAAACTATTTTTTACCGCTTTTATCATGCAATGTCACCCATTACACAAAGCTCATGACCATGGGTGAGGGTGGGTAGATTGACTGGTAAATCCGGAGCTCAGACTGCTTCCTCTTCACCACAACAGTCCGATAAAACGACTGCATCACGCTCCATCCTTCTCTCACTCCCCAAATATCTGAACTCCGCATTTGTAATTAGATGAAAGAAAACATTGATTTTATACACAAATAAAGGGAAATTAAATGACTTATCTGTGGTCTTCCTGGTGTGTTCAGGGTGGACTATCACTGTATTTTTTTTCCTGCAGATATTCTTTCACTCAAGAAATGCTGCAGATCATGAATGTAAATATGAGCGACCAGGGCATTTACACGTGTATCGCCAGAACCAGCCTTGACATGGACAATGCCTCTGCCATCATGACAATTTTGGGTAATATTTTATCATAACATTTCACAATAATTTGTCTTGTATCATTAACTTAAATGCAATGAATGTTCTGTTATGTAGATGTTCCTGATGCTCCATTAAGTTTAGAGATTACTGAACTTCAAGGATTGAGAAATATCAGCTTGTCCTGGACCCCTGCAGCAGAGAACAACAGCCCTGTCACAGGTGCTACCCTGTACCTTACATTTTGTTTCATATTAAATTGATCTTAAATAAATTGGGCTGCAAATTGCTCTATCGTTTTTATGAGTGAGTCACTAAAGCATCCCAATCCAAAATGAATATGACATTGTATTGACCATTAATCATGCAATTACTTTGAAAAGAGAAACTTTCACAAATTACTTACCACTTAATCATAGTTACGTTGTAATACATATAGTTTTAGACTAGACCACAATTACTTCTTAAAGCTGGGGTACCTAACTTTCAAGTCACAAAACAAAATCTAAATGAATCCATGTAACTAGTCCCTGGCTTTGTTTCTATCCCTATTTTTCACAAGCTTTAATCAGCTCAAGTATCTCAAATTCACAAATAATACATAATAATAGCTCTTTTTTTTAACCTATCTGCAAAATAATTGATGTTTTCTAATAAGATGAAGACAGCATATCAAAAGTCTGTGGGGAAAATCAAAGTAATTTGTCCCCACAGACTTTTTTGGAACAAATAACATAAATTGTGTACAAAAATGTAGGTCCCCAGTTTTTAAGTCCAAATATACAAGGTATACTGACACACCGTAATATATTTTTTTCCAAAAGTGTGGTGTCTGAAAACTAGTCCTGTTTGTTGAAAAACATTCAGTGTTAGTGTAAATGTGCTAATTTCCCTCACATTATTGTGTCTTATGTACACACAGTACACACAACTGTTGTCAACCCATTGTGAAAATTCTTTGTGTGTGAGTAAAGCTGTCTTTCTTATCACGACTGCAGAATTTGTGGTGGAGTACGAGGAGAACCAGTGGGATCCAGGGAGGTGGAAAGAACTGAAGAAAGTCCCTGGTAACCTGGCAACCGCGGACCTGCTTCTACATGGCCACCTCAACTATCAGTTCAGGCTGTACGGCGTTAATGCAGTGGGGCCGGGACCCCCTAGTGAGCCCACGCAGAGACACAAAACGCCTCCCGCTGGTAACCCTTGCAAAACTTTTTTACATTTTCAACTCAGGCTTATCTGTGCTGTTTCTGAACCTACACACCAAGTTTTAACTACTCTTTTGAAATGTGCGGAAAACCGGAGAGCCAAGTGTAACCACAGGACTTTGTAGCACTGGGGGGTTATGGAGATAGTTTTTGAAGGCCTTCAAATCCCACAGTATCTGCAGCAGCATATGTCAATGCTTCACCTTGACTCCTCCATTTGAATATTTGCATCACCAGCTGTGTTCAACGTGTTTGAAGCTTCAAGGCATGCTTCAAAAACACCTCAAATCTCAGGTTGAGGCGAAAGTCTGCTGTCTGTAAATAGGCTACCAGCTATGAACGAAGGGAATTTATACGCGACAACATTTGACATTTATGATAAAGGGTGGCCTGGCTTCCTGAGAATAAAGTTGGTTATAATCAAGTTTAAAGCCGGAGTTCCTAAACGACAAAAACATAATGTGACATAAACAATCTAACTTGTTTCTTCGCTCTCAAATCAGTTTGGTTCAAGTATTATTCTGGCCTCTATCATATCTTTATATCAGATTTTTTAGACTGGAAGAAAATGCAAAAAAGAAAAAGAGAAAGGACCACCTTCACTCAGCAAATCAGTTTCAGCTCAAAGTATCAATTAGTGACTCACATTGCTCTTTCTTACAAGTATGCAAATTCCGAATTCCGAAATTCGGAAAATGTTTCTTTTACAAGGCTCTTTCTGTTGGGACGAATAACATGTGTTATTTATTAAAGAAAATTAGGTTTCAACCAGATTTAACCAGAGGCAGAAAAATATGTGATATTTGACAAAGGAACGGAAATTGTGATTTGACAGAATTTTTCCATGATTCACTCATTACTTTGTCTTGTAGCACCTGATCGAAACCCAGAGAACATCAACATTCAAGGACATCTTCCTCATCAAATGGAAATAAGCTGGGATGTGAGTAAATCCTATTTTTCATCCATCTAAAGTGTCTATCTTGTACAAATGATCATGAAAAAACTGTTGTGTTCTGTCACAGCCACTGTTGCCAATTGAGCACAATGGGCCAGGCTTGGAGTACAGGGTAAACTACAGGAAGCTGGGGGTAGATGAGCCATGGAAAGAGTCTCTCGTCAAAAGACACTCCTTTGTTGTGAGGAATACGTCAACTTTTGTGCCGTACGAGATCAAAATCCAAAGCAGGAACAGTTACGGGTGGGGGCCAGTACCCAAAGTTTTCTCAGGGTATTCTGGGGAGGATGGTAAGAACACACACATCACATCATACACCAACACAAAAGCAATACGGAATACAAGGCCCTTTCTGATTTTCTACAAGTCACATATGATTATCAAACAGGCCAGTCTACTATTCATGAAACTGTACTGTTATATGAACATATCTCTGTGAAAATCTCTGGACCTGGTTATAGTGGGACAATATCCATTTAAAGGCTACATATTGACTCATTTACTCACTCAAAATTGTTTAAGCCTTTCATGGACGTTTGAGAAGGGTCCTGCATTCAAGTGACTTTGTTCTCTTCAATGTTCTATAATGACTATTTCTTTTTGTTATTTATGACACTTGACATATTTGGCATCATCGTGCAGGCCTTTCATAAAGGGCCAGGCGTATCATATGAATGTTCAATCAATCAATATAGGCAATATACAGTTAGTATAAAATTGAATTAATCCAATAATAGATTAAATTTTAGACATGGAATTTAAGTTATGGTAAAGTTAAAGCTGGTTTATCTAATTTTCAAACAAAAACTATGTAATAAAAATCCATTTAAATCACTCTCTCAACGTGTTGTCTCTATATCACTAGTTTTCACTGAATCAGCAAATCATCTCTCAGCCAAAACCATCAAAAAGTGACTTACAGAGCACTGTGTTACGAGTATGCAAGAGATAACATGTTTCGTAATGTTGTGGTCTGATTTGTCCCAAACATTTGACTCTTTCAGTTGGGACCACCACAATGTCAATCATAAAAAGTTAGACAATCCAGCTTTTAACTATTTGTAAGATCTAAACACTGCATTTGTGTGCTGTAAAAATCAAACACCATACGCCTGTTTAATTTGTCCATCCCTTCATGTCTTTAGCTGTTGTGTGGCACTGCCTGCGTGAAAATATCTCAGGTTGAGTTTTTCCTCCATTATTGTTGTAGCTCTGTGCAGGTGTGCAGTAGTGATTAGCCCCCTGAGAAAAAGTAGTTGTGTGCAGCAGGCGGTTCGTGGCCTGTGTTCCCCTGTGTGTGTGAGCGGCTGTGGGAGTTTTCACAGATCACGACACAGCTTGAGTAGGCCCGCGGAGGCAGAGTGCTTCTCTCCAGTGCGCCTTTGAATCCATCCTGCCTTGTTTAGCGCTCGGCTTTCATGATAGATGTGCTGTTTCTGCGTGATAGCAGTCTGTGCCTTCGTCTGTGTTTTGCTTAATGCCTCAGTATGTCGAAATCAATTTGGCTTGCATAATCTCAGGAGCAAATCTTTCTATTGTTAAGAAGTAAAGTTGTGTAAAATATAACCATTCCTTCAGAAAATCAGGAAGGTCTCACAAGAAAACACGCTAAAACTTTAAAACCCAAACAGAATTTCTTATTAATTTTGTTCATACATTTTTGATACCTCTCTTCCGTTATAGGATGTGGGTGGTTGCAGCTTATTCCTCCATAATGAGCCATAATGAGACTATAGCCAGTTAGTTGCAGAGAATCAAGAAAAACAATCTCCCCTGCATTTGTTCTTGGAGAGACATTTAGCTCAACCGCACTAACATGTCTCTAAAAACATGCCAGGGTTTTAAGAAATAAGTTTATGTGAGAGCGTAGTGATGTTTTGCACATATATTTAAGTATTAGTAGTAAAACTTTTTTGTAATATGCATTTTGCCTTCCACTTTGGACAAAGAAAGTTTGTGGCAGTGTGAGAACTTTTGTGTAAGTCATATGAACAGACACGTTGCTTTACTGACCTCTCTCTCTGACTCACTTAGTTCCTACTGCAGCTCCGCGGGACGTGGCGGTGGAGGTGATCAACACCACTGTGCTGAGAGTTAGCTGGACCCCAGTTCCACCTGCCACAGTACGAGGGCATCTGGGGGGCTACAATGTGAGTAATTGAATTGTGAAAACCTTTTCCGGACTCCACACTGACCATTAACTTGTACCACAGGAATATCTTCTAACAAATATAATACTGACCAAACCAACCATTACTGTAGAGACTCTCCGAACACATTAGTTCTATGTCGTTTTCATATGCACACCCTCACAGGCCATGTCCACAAAAGTCAACCCACTGTTGATGAGATAGTGGATTATGAGCTAGGGGTTAATGAGCAAGGGGGCTTCCGTCTTGTGGCAACAATTTTTTTGGCGGCCACCAGGAGAAACTTTTGTTGTTTTGTTTTGTTGGCAACCTGAAGGACCAGGCAAGTGCAGGAGAGCATGACATATTGTTCCCATCATGGCACTTAGTACCATGGTGGAGCTCCCCTAATGGGAGAGAAGACGTTTCAAACATCCAGCTCATGAAATGGAATTTTTAATCAAAAGAAAAATCGCAGGATTTATATTTCCATTAAATGGAACCCTAAACGTAAGTTATTCTGCTTTAGGTATACTTTATCTTTATGTTTTGCTCTTCTCTTTACTCTTAACTGTGAGTAATCCAGTTATCCACAGCCTTACCAACCAATTAGAGAACACACATCTGTATTCTAGCAGATGATGAAGAATGACGTCATTTCAAAATCACCAACATTAGTTAGAAAGAATAGATTGTCAAAGAGATGCGATCATAGTTGCTTTTAAAACACTTACTCCCTACATCTGTGATTTATTTTCCTTCAATTTTACTCAAAAAAACCTTAAAGCACAAGCAAAATTAATGTGGTGGCAACCCTCGTCAGATTGTTGACCTCTCTTTGTCAACCTGTCTCACTCTAACCACTCTTCCTTTATCATCGTTCAGATCCACTGGTTGAGAAAGCAAAGCCTACTGAATCCTGGGAAGCTTTTAGACGAACGCCAATCACTTTCCTTCCATGGAAAAAGAAACCACTGCATTGTGCCAAGCCTTGAACCGTTTTCTGAATACAGCTTGACCGTCAACGTGTTCAATAAGAAGGGCAATGGGCCAAAAAGCGACCCGGTGAACTTCAGCACTCCCGAAGGAGGTGAGCGGGACTATAACGTTCCCCATACATTATTTTAAGTGTCTCTTCTTTGTGTTTCCGAACCGACAGCGTCAAAGCCCCCCCTTCCATTAAAGACCCCGAAAAATTTTGAAAGTAAAAAGGTCAGGAGAGAAGAAAAAAAATACGGCAATGGAAACCTTCTATCTATTCTGGTGTTTGTGAGCTTCTCTGCGTCAACATTTTGAAAGACAAAAGGTCAGGAGAGAAGAAAAAAAATACGATAAATGGAAACCTTCTATCTATTCTGGTGTTTGTGAGCTTCTCTGCGTTAACACTAAAGGCGGCACGGTGGCTGAGTGGATAGCACTCTTGCCTCTATTCAGCAAGAAGGTCCTGGGTTCAAATCCCGGTCGGACCAGGGCCTTTCTGAGTGGAGTTTGCATGTTCTCCCCGTGTCTGTTAGGTTTCCTCCGGGTACTCCGGTTTCCCCTACCACTAAAAATATGTACAATAGGTCTGGCATGTGCCTCCTGTTCGGCGACCCCGCTCCTATCTCTGTGTGGAGTGAGAGGACAAGTGCCCAAAAATAACAATTGTAAACCGCTTTGTGACTCTGGTCTGTGAAAGGCGGTATATAAATAAAGATTCGGTTGTATTTTCCTTTGTCAGGTATAAATACAGAATACGAATACACAGACAAAAGTAACAGTTAACCCTGGAGTATCATCTATCACTCATTTTCACATGCATATATATATATACATTTTTTTAAATCTTTGACACATCTTCAGGCCAGGAATTGTGTACTTTGTCATATTATGCATAACAATTCTTCAACTATTGGCATATATGCAACAATTAAGGCGCTTACGTTTTTTTTTCTACATATTTTTGCATTCAAATGGCCGTAGTACAGACGCAGTATCCTTGATGATCACAAAGAGGCATTAAAAACATGCAATTAGAAAAACTATGTAATAGCAACAAATGATGATTAAAATGTGCTTTTGATGGAAAAATGCTAGTTTGCGTCAGTGATTAGTCCACTTATTAGATTTCTTAGAGAACAACTCTAGATAAAATTGCCATTATGGAACAAGGCACGAGTTGCATTTTTGTTTTACTTTCAAGTACATTGCATTGAAAATAAGACAAATGTAAGAGTTTAGATTTTCTACAGTAGAAACATACATTCCTGTGACATCTGTTCACACACCTTACTGCCACGACGAACGAAGGCAAGTAAAAATAGCCCCTAGTTGTTTACTGTTCTATATACAGTAGCAATGAATGCTTCAGGCTGAAAAATACAGGATACAGGATAAAGATGAGAACAAATGTTTGACACAATGACAACCCTGTTACGCTGGTATAGCTTTCTGACAACTGCCTGACTTCTGATTGATGGTGTGTTGGATATTTTTTGTTTTATGTACAATTTTAATTAGCATAAATATATATTTCCTTACAGTTCCTGGTCAAGTGCCGATCCTGACTTCTTCAAATGCTCAAAAAGACTCTATTCTACTGGTCTGGGGTCCGCCATCGGAGACAAAGGGCATCCTCACAGGCTACCTCTTGCAATATCACCTCAGTAAGTTCAACGTTCTTATTTTTATTTATTTATTTATTTAATGTGGGCATAACAATAACATTGGACGAACCAGATGCATTGCTGTAAGTGTTATAGCACAGGTGCTAATTTTCAGCACTAGTCCACAGGGGACTTTTACATTACAGAAGATAAAGTACATTTAAAAGAATTACAATACAATTTACACGTGAGAACAAGTCTGTCTGGATCGTAACCACTGTTTGAGCTCTCTGCTAAAGATCGTCATGTTAGTCTGTAGTTTTAGTCCGGTGGGGAGAAAGTTCCACAGTTTAACCCTAAAGGAGAAGCTGGATTGTCCAAAAGATGTTCTGAGCTTTGGGAGCGCACAGTCCCCACTGACTGAGGCTCTGGTGGAGGCTCTGAGAGCAGACTGGCGTTTCAGCTTGAGCCCAGAGAACAGAGGTGACACACAGTTGTTCACACATTTAAAAGCAAATTTTAAGATTGAGAAATTTACAAAGTTGTTGAAAGTAAAAAGTTTGTGCTTCTGTATGATATCACAATGATGCCATCTCATTGCTTTCTTGTCCATGATCTTAATTGTCTGTTTATACAGAGAGGTTACTGGCATGAGAATTGAAGCTGATGTTTCAGACCATGCTGTGACACAATAGGACAGACGTGAAAAGACCATTGCGTGCATATATAATACAGCAGCATGGTGTGGTAAATCTTTTCTGATTGGATTTGACCTTCTTACAAACATGCTTAACGTGACTTTGAAACTTCAGATGTTTATCCAAGATAACACCCAGGTATTTAGTTTCATCCACCTCCTTAATGACTTCATCGTTAAGACTAACCTCAAATGGACTATTTAGAGGCCTCTTGTTGATAGAAAAGCACATTGCGACTGGTTTCTTTAGATTTAGTGTTAGATGGGGCTGTTCTAGCCATGTTGAGATGTTGTGTAGGGCCTGTGTAAACTTCTGCCCAGCCAGAGCTGATGTTTTAGATGACACATGAATGACTGTGTCGTCAGCATAGAGCTGACAGTTTACATACTGACAGCAGTCTGTTAGGTCACTGATATAAATGGAAAACAGCAGCGGACCTAGAATTGAGCCTTGAGGCACACCCAAATCATTTGGACATAGATTACATTTAACGGTCCCAACCTTCACACACTGAACTCTACCCTCGAGATAGGACTTTAAACACAACAGAGGTGCCGATGACATTTGAAATTGTTGTAATTTAGGTTTAAGAACACAGCACCCATAACATTGCCTTTGTCCAATGAACCTTTTATTTGTTCTAACAGGTAACTGTTAGAACAATATACTATGAAAATATCAGCAAGATCTTTTTGGCCACTGGTTGGAAAAATAAATATATTTGCTGTATCTAGCACAATTTATACTGCTTAACAGAGACAAAGTAACAATACACAAAACATTGAGACCATGGAGGAAACTACCATGGATAAATAACATGTGCTGGTATTGGCCTATCTTACAACCATTCAAACTAACAGAATTTAACTCCTGCAGAGCCCATGAGCTACTAGGAGTGGGGCTACTCCAAGTAGTACTGAAGGAATCGAAAATTATGGGACCTGAAAATGCTTTCAAGTCTCCCTGCGCATGCGCCAAAATATTACAATATTATGCAGTGATCTCACACCCACCTACACACACACACGCACAACACACACACATACGGATCTGCGCTGGAACAAAAAGGAAAAAACAAACAAACGTAGCAGCACTGGTGATGATCCAGGACACTCAACAACACTTATGGACGTTTCTCATCATTTATGGACATTTGTCATCTGCCCCTTATGGACCAACGGCTCTATGTGTTTTTCATTGCATTTCTTATGTTGAACTGTTTATTCTCTGATCTTCCGAGATGTTGTGATTTAGTGTTGTGAGACCCACACATTGACGTCGACAGAACTTCATAAAATGTTGCTTCATGCTGCGGCTTTTTATTGTTAACTTTCAGAATAATTGACGTAAATGCACACCAATATGACCTCTACACAAGATCACTCCACTAACTTTCTCTTCACAACTCATCCCTCAACTCATTTATGGACATTTATCATCTTTTATAGACATTGGTCCTCTGCCCTTTATGGACCTATAGCTCTATGTGTTTTTCTTGCATTTCTTGTGTTGAGCTGTTCTCTGATCTTTGTTGGCGAATTCAACGGTTTTGTTAAGTCCTCCAAGATAACTGTTGTGATTTAGGGCTATAAAATAATACATAGAATTGAATTGAATTGACATATACTGTATTTGAACCAGAAAGTAGTTTTTGACTCATTAGAAGTTGCCATAGGGTTCCACAGTGTATTTCGTGTCTGCAGTCACAATTCCAGGCATAGAGCCAGCCGGACTGCAAAGATGGCAACCTGCCTCCTTATCTGTGATTGGACGGCCAGCTGCTCACACATGTAACGGCTGCACACATGTAACGGCTGCAAACTCGTCCACGAGCCGTATACGTACAACAGGACACAGAGTGGAGTCAACTACTTTACTCAGACCTGTGACAGACCAAAAATATACATTTTTAGTCACACAGCGGACAAACTGGCTCCCACCTCTGAAGCACATGACGCAGCTTTGAGAGGGGGAGGGGAGCAAATAACAATATTTTAACAGAATTTTCAAACGTTGACAGTAATTTTACATGAACAATGTAATAAAAATAAAATAAATATACATTTGAGGTAGTGGAGTAATCAATTGGAGTACAAATGCACAAATAAAAACTAGGGCTGTCAAAATGATCGCGTTAACGCGCGCTAAATTCATTTTTTTTTATTAATCGCGTAAAAAAAAAAATTAACGTTTTAACGCATGTGCCAAGTGACTGCCCCCCCGCACGCGTGACCACGGGACAATTGTTGTGAATGGGAGTCCGCAGCGTTCTGGGGCCGATGCGGCCGCTTTGGACAGCGGTTCTCGCGTCCAGCAGCTGTGAGCGGCTTTCGTGAGCGGCTTTCAACAGCACGGGAGCACACAGCCGTACCCACCCAATGAAAACAGCGCTGCAAGAAACAGGCTATATCCACACGAAGACAAAACGCTTATAATTTCAGAAACTTTTTCTGTAAACACGGAGTTAGCTCAGTAAATGTGTGCGTCCATATGAATGTAGTCAATACGCCTGAAAACGCTGTGAAACTATGCCAGACCTGTTGGTGGCGCTGTGACGCAATGACGGGATCAAGCCCAAACTTCCGTGGGCATGCGCGGAATTTTGTAAACAGACAACATGGCGAGTGGGCGAGCTGGTACTACATTAGTATGGACGGACGATGAGGTTGAACTGTTGCTTCGGGTCGCACTGGATTACAAAACAAACAAGCTACATTGTTGTTGTCATTATTTTCTGAGTGCGGCGCATGCGTGCTTTAACAAGAGGCGGGGCGATGACGCAAGCGTCTCAGATACATTGCGGAGAGGCAGTAACCACGGAGCGGCATATACGGAGTTTTGAAATCTTTCCACTCTGGGACCTAGTTTCAAAAATGTTCGTTTACACCCCCCCAAAACGCCGGCCTCGTATGGACGATACACTGGATTGATAAAGTATTTTTGCGTTTAGGCCTGAGCTTGACTTCGTGTGGACAGGGCCACAGTCCGTCCCCCATGTCTTCTCCCGAAGCGAAAAAAATCCCGCTGAATTAAAGCTGGGGTACCTAACTTTTCCTTTGCACTACCATTTCATGTTATTTGTGCCCTGAAATGAAATGTTGTGAGCAAATCAAACAGAGTTAATGACAGCCATTGGCGGACATGCATTTCAGACTTTTTTCAAATATCTCTCATCCCTGTAACAAAAAACAGTTTGTAGAGGCACAATTATGAAGAGGATTCACAGTCTTTATGAGACAGAGAAAAAGAGGAGGCTTTAGCAGATGAGGAATATGTCGAGCTGAAAAAATAGTGTCTACAGCAGAAAGACAAATACATTTCCTACTAAACATTTCTTTGTGAATATTGCGGAAAATAAAGCTAAATGATTAAAAATATGTATTTTTCACAGAGAAAGAAGTCACCCTCTGAAGCATTCAACGCGACTTTGAGAGGGAAATTTGAATACCAAAATAAAACATGGGGGGACTTCCGGGAATTTCAAAATAAAACATAAAAATTATAAAATTCACACAAAATTTACATTTTAAACTAAAAACAAGTGCATTTCTATATCCGTTACACACATCTAAGAGTTTACAGAAAATAAAGAAGTGTCAAAGCATGTCATTAGATAGTGCTTTCCATTTGTAAGGAGCATACATGAAGAAACGGTTTATCCTACTTTTGGTTTTACACAAGAAGAATGTCGATGTCTGTGCAGTTTCATAAGGCAGTGTCATCAGCAAATCAGAATTGTGATGGTTTCAGACGATGGAGGGTTTTATTAACAAGAATGCAGATTTGAAGTCAGTTTGTGTCTGTATAAAGCGAGATATTTTTTTAGTCCCGAGTCAGAACGCAAATTGCAGAAATGTTAATATAATGGATTGATTTAAGAAAAAGAGCTAAGAAGAGTGTGGTATAATAAAATCTATGTGATAAATTCATGTACAAGTATTTCATCAGCCTTACTAAATGGAATCTTTTATATCATGACACCAAGGTCTCTCACAAAGTGTATGAGTTCAAAGCCTTGAAAATACTTGGTGTCAGCCATTTCTTTAAAACATTGTTGCCATCTTGATATTTTGCCATTGAGCATCAGTAGCACTAGCATGATACTAACGTGACATAAAAAGCCAGGACCATCAAGGCATATACAGGCATAATATATTGAAAGCTTCATTTCTTCAACATTTGATTCATGCAAGTGCAACATATCTCTCTCTCTTCTTCACCATGATAATATTTAATACATCTATACTCCACAACCTCCTCCCTGCTGCTTTGTGTGGAGGGAAAGTCTTTAAGCACAGTAGATGATACCTCAAAGTAAAGATTGAAGTTCCTGTGTACCTTTGAGCCCTGGTGTGTTTTTCT